CCGAAGTGGAGAGTTTCGGCGCTCCTTTCTTCCAACGCTGCACTCCACGACCGACCGGTTTCGTCCTGATTTGGACACCTCAAGTAGAGATAGCTCGAACTGAGAGGGGAGCCCAACACAGTGGTTGACGGCTTTCGTTTTGGTCGCTAACCCAGAGCTCCACAACAGCGCTTGACAGCGGTTAAAAGTTCACTGTTGGGGCTTGGAGTACCCGCCGTTTGTCCTTCTCGATTGTCGGTTTTCCGGAAACAGTAGTATCAAACAATGAACCTCAGTTTACCTCTTCACATTTTGCTGAATTTTCCGCTTTACACGGCATGAAATACATGCGCTCTCCTCATCATCTACAGTCAAATGTACAGGCTAAACAACTTGTGGATACTTTCATGGAGACAGACCAATTCAAAACATCCCATAGATTTCTGAAAACAAATATGATTACCTCTAATCCACACAGTGCTCAACAGGAAGCTGCCATCCCCGAAGTCTTCCATCTTCGCTCCAGCAACCCAGAACGCAGTTCAAACTTGCAGCGTTCAACGTACACACATTACTACAGATCGGTCAGCAAGCTGGACTTGCACGCACGCTAGAGACCCTTGGAATTGATGTCTGCTGCCTGAGTGAAACGCGACTCTAGGACTCCAACTCGGTCTACCAACTGGCGTCACCGCTCCACCCATGCACTCGTTTCCATCTCCACCTCTCTGGTGGCGCCAAGTCTACCGCATCTGGGCAAGCTGTTGTTGGAATCGCCCTCAGTGCTAGGGCCGAGACTGCTCTGATTGATTGGATTCCGATCAATAGTCGCCTATATGCGATGAGACTCCATGGCTCTTGTAAAGTTAGCAAACGTCGAGTCGAAAAGCCTCTCTCTTCGTGATCTCTGCCTACGCGCCCACTGACTGTAGCTCGGACACAGTCAAGGACCAGTTCTACTAGACTATTCATGAGCTGCTCCTAAGGGCTTCTCAAACAGACATCATTGTTTTGGCAGGAGACTTCAGCGCGCGTGTCGGTCGTCTACTGCCATGTGAGCGCCACCTCGGGGGACCGCATGGATATGATGATGTTCGCTCAGACAACGAAGAGATACTGCTCAGTCTGTGTGCTGGTCATCAGCTTTCCCTCTCCAGCATGAGCTTTCGTCATCCTGGACGCCAGTACGCTACTTGGCGCCCCCATCATCAACCCAGCGCTGGTCAATGATTGATCACATAGCCATAAGTCGCAGGTGGTGCGGCAGCGTACGCGACTGTCGATCATTTTGGTCAACCTGCGTCGGTACCGATCATGCAGTAGTATGTGCGACCGTTTGCATGCGTTTCGGTGGTTCGCCCAGATCCAAACATACCCGACTGAACACCTGCAAGTTGGAGGACCCAATAGCGAAGAAAGAATATCAACAAAAGCTTCGTGAAAATCTCACTCTCTCTTCCACTCCGGATGTTGATCAACGCTGGTCAAGCCTGCAACAAGTCTTGCTGTCGGCCGGTATGTTCAGCTTTGACATCTCACTCCACTTCCAAAAGCTGGATCTCGGGCTGATTCTCGGAATTACTGGATCGCCGACGGGCGGTGCCTGCTGGCGCAGACTACAACGAACACCGCCGGTCTATTACGCAACAGCTGAGAGGAAGCCTTCGCTCTGATCGTGAATCTTGATGACCAAAACAAGGTGATGAGATAGAAGCCGCTGCATCAGCTGGCAACTTCCGCCGTCTATTTTGCATCATTTGGGCCACTGGTCGCAATTCTCACGCTATCAGCCGGACGATTTGCGAATCGGACGGCATGCAGATCACCAACATTCACAGGCGATTGGGTCGCAGAACAGAGCATTCCGCTCGTCAATTCAACCACCCAACATAGCCCCCCCTGTGGCATTTGGAGCCCCAATGGATGCTGCTTGGCCTGTCTCCACAGGCCCCCCAACTGAAGCAGAAATCCGAGATGCTATCCAATCCTTGAAACGCGACAAGGCTCCTGCTCTCCACAGCCGACCACTGGCTCTACTCAAAGATGGCCGGAGTGTACTTGTCAGCGAAATCTTATCACTGTTCACGAAAGTTTGGATTAATGAGAAGTTCCCGAACTCATGAGGAAAATCGGTCATTGTTCCGATTCACTAAAAGGGTTCCAGCGACGATTGCTGTAACTATCGCAGAATCTCATTAATCTCTATCGCTTCCAAAATCCTCTTGTTGGTCTTACTTCGCAGGCTTTCAACTACTAGAGAAGAGTTTTCCCGAGAAGAAGCCTGATTTCGTCTAGGCCGCGGCTGCATCGACCAAATCTTCACGCTTCGCTAACTACTCGAACACCGGCGGCCAACAATCGTAGTGTTCTTAAACATCCGTGCAAGATTTGATTTAGTGGCTGGATCTGCGCTGTGGAACTTTTTACTTTAAAAGGTGTGTCAGACAAGTTTGTAACCATCCTAAAAGAACTTTACAGTCACACGTCGGGACAAGTCAAGACTTACGGCACGCTCTCTTGGTTCGCTGTGACCAGCGGTGTTCTTCAAGGTTGCCCTATTTCACCTTTCCTCTTCAATTTAGCCATGGAAGATGTCCACGGAGCACTGGAAGGTGTTCAGGTCTGCGGTGTTGAGCTCCTCCCCGGAGACAGAGTCATTGACTTGGACTACGCCAATGCTATCGCCTTGCTGGGGGACGACCCGCAAACCCTCCAGATCGCTTTGGACCGCTTAGCGATGGAGGCGTCTAAGTACGGGTAATACTTCACCCTGGGAGAATGTAAAACCCGGCTCCAGCATTAGCAGGTGCTTGAACCCGCGCTCACCACTGCTGGAGCAACTCCCTTGTTTTACTAATCTAAGGAGTTGCATCACGGCAACTGTCTCCACAAACGAGATACTTACGATATACAACGGTACGCCGAGAGATGAAATGATATGCGCGGCCTATTTGCTGAAGCTTTAAAGTCATTTTTTTCTTCGTGTATTAACATGTCATAAGCGACAAAAGCGCGTCAACCATTTAAACTTATGCTTCGCTTCCTTACTATCACAAGACTTACGGAACGAAGAATAATAAGAAGGGTAGGGGACTTACCGAAAAACCTCAACGTCCTAAACAAACATTCAGAGTCAAGGCACTCACACATTGTGTTAACAGCATGCCTTCACAAACTGCTGGCTATCATGCAAAGATAAGGCGGTATCGACTAAGCAGCTTCCTTGCTGCTTTCACTGCCCCGTGTCATAATCAGTCATTACCCCACAGATAACACCAAACACGTTAAACAGGCAATCCTACTAGGAGACGGCGGCAGACGCGCCACTGGTCTGGACTGCAAGCCATGTCCTGTAACCTCTCGAACCAAGCACAAGGCAGGTCACGTGTACTTCAGCCTGTAAGGCGAGATGGGCCGACGGCACCAATTTCGGTCCTCGATAACTTCATTTCCCTTTGCCAAGTCAACTTTTGTCCACCTCTAGCCTTGCGCCACCCTACATCTGACAGACAAACAATTCCTTCCTCGGTAAGCGGTCACCGGAAGTTTATCTGACGGGTTTCATGAACGACTTCATTAATCCGTGTTATTGGTCGGTCAGCAGTTTCTATGGCTGGGGGAAGCCAGCTAGGGAATTAACGAAAATTTCAAACCGCTTGGAGGATTCCATCATCATCATATTTGAATACAATTGGGCGAGTGCCGTTTGGTCTCTCTCGAGTGGACTCGGTGTGATTCCAGTGGTTGGGGACTTTAACTGACACGGTGCAGTCAGAGAACCACTGGTGCGCTTGCGTCTGTTGAATAATGTTCCAGCCTAGTTCCAGTCACTAACACTTCACCATTATTATCATGACGACGATAGTGCTGACCACTCTATCTACTGCACTTAGATGCTGGAATCCTACGTATAAAACTGGATTGTGTGTGAGACGCGCCTCCGGTCTGATCATGTAACGCACTTTCGACTAGCATCTGATTCTGTCTGCCTTCATCCCTACTTTTGGCCGAAAGGAGTTCGCCGGTTCGAATCCGCATGGGTACAGATGACCTCGCGGTGTATCCAGTTCATGCGCGGCCAGTGGTGATCTCATGCCAGGAGTACTGCTGATACTCTGTTCTGCCAATGTATGGGCCAGTTAATATAGGGTGTTGGAGATTACCTACCTGAATTGATCCCAGTGAACAGTCTTATGTACCCGATTCGGTCCAATATTTCCACCGGAGTTACTGGATATGATCTGATTACTTGCTGCTCTGTTGTTACCTAGTATACGCTCTCGCCGTTAGATCGTGTCTCAAACACGCAAGATGAATTGATCCAGAGCGCTCTTCAAATTCATGAGAACGACCGTTACGGATCATCTTTATGCGTACCTCTACTTTAGCGCTAGGGGTGATGGGAACTGACTTTCATATGTTCAACCTCAATGATCCGTTGTTTGTGATCAGTTTGGAGATAACTGGCCGTTTTGATTAATGAGGACAGTGGTCATTTACGGAAATAGGCGTAGCACATACTAATATTGTGCAGACCGGTTATGACGACATGTAGTCAATCACCATTGTCCGTCAACAGTAATGGGCTAGTATAAGCGTATTGTTATGGTTTAGCAGCATCAATCCATGCTGCATCTCTACAATACGGAAATAGCTGGACGTACGGTTGCATAGTTGTTAGCGCCTCCTTAGTTTTTAATTTTACCTGTTCCTTTTTTTCTCTCCTCATTTTCTCCACTGGTTTGAATGAATGCTCTTCCGTACGGGACCGTTTTTAATGCGTTTTACCGGGACGCGTTATTTTAGCTCATTTGCGCTTTTATCAGTGATCACTGCGATCCTACCGGATTTTGATTTATCCTGTTGCGAAGAGTGCATGTTCTATAAAATCCGCGTTAAAAATTTGTCGGTTATTCATTCGAACTGTTATCGCTTGTAAATCTAGTAGGCATCTCACATCCCTGTATTTTTTAACTCGGTCGCTTTTTATCTTTTTGTTTTTCATGATCACTCGTTTACAGAAAACCTGACCCCATACAACCACGGCGATATTCCTATCTCCGAAGTGACTTCACCCACGCTTGGTCTGCTCGAGAGTGTTTCAACTTCCTGCTCATCCACGCCCAACTCCACGCAGTCTTCTGTGACGAGCCACGTAACCACTCAATCTACTTCCCTTGCCCCGCCGGATGCCTCTTCTTTTGGGGCCCTGGGATCCACTGCTATCTCAACTGCTCGTTCAAGCATTGATCCCGATGAGTTTGATTCACCAACAGTAATAGCGGATTGCGATCAGAACTCACCCGACATCTCATGCAGAACTCCATCTGAGCTATCCGCCGAAAGTGACCTCATTGAGGAAATTCGGCAATTGGCTGCAAACTTGGTCGAAAAATGGTCCAAATTACCGGTTGGTTTTCCTTTATCTTCTGTTTTATTCCTTATGGCGACATTAACCGCTGTGTCATCTTGTTTACACCAGATGCTTTGCCTTATTCATTTCTAGAAATCCTTCTCTATTCTCCGTATCCAGTACATCGAATTCCTACTGTTTAAGTCAGATTTATGTGAACACCCCAAGCCACCATAATCCCTTCGTTCACACGGCGAGTAGTAAGCATTATTTAGCCAAATGCCAAGTTATCATTTCTAGGGATCTCGGATCGTTTCCCACTGCTCAGCCTCATGGATGAATCTTTACTCCTTGAGTAGATTCCATTGAAAAATTTTGTTCCTGCTTGACGCTAGCTATACTAAGCGCACATGAGTAGCGCTTGGTTCTATCCATACTTGCGCCATCTGCCTCAACCAACTCCAATCTTTACGCCGCCTCGTATCTCTATTAGCTTCGACAACTATACTTGCTTGAGCCGCGCTTGTGCAAGCTGGCTTTTTAAACCTCTTAAAAAGCCCATTAGTTGATATACTCGTTGTTCATTGTGGTCACAGTGGCTATCGTTTGTTGATATTGGGCATTGATCTTTGAATGTTTTCTATGCACCACCAGTCACAATGAGTGTCCCTCCCGTAGCTGCCCATCAACAGGTCCCCCCAGACCACGTCCGTCTTAAGCTACATTCGGCTTGGTTTTATCTTTGATTGTCAACGGCACTGAATCACATGCGTCGGCTCCGACTGTGCACCAGGCCACTGCTGAATTTCGTTGAGCCTTACTGAGAATTGCAGCAAATCATTCTCTCGATTGGATACTCAACCCCCTGTCGAGCCACTCCGTCGTGTTACTTTGCGTGCCAACCTTCACCTAATGTCAGTGGTAAGATGGATCTTCGAGGATGTATGCTTTCAATTGCATTCATGACACGGATTTGTAACTGCGGCACCGTCATTAGTCACCGCACCTTATACTGGGAATCCGTTTGATCCAAAGAATGAATCCGCGCCATGCTTCGCTCAGTATGATCAGATGGGTTATCAGGCACTAACAAAGAGGAGCGGTGGTTAACTTCCTCAGACTCTCCAAACTGCTCCGAATCACTTATTCAATACAATCGTGGTTCTGTGCGGTATGTAATCATTGCACTGGCTCTTCATTTCACAGTTAGAAACATCACGCTCCCAAGATTGTTTCAGTTGGCCTACTGCCTTTGAATCCGCTCATTGCTTAGGTGGCGCAGGTCGAACCATGTCAATTAACTTAAAGGTGTATGATCAACCAGGCTCGCGCCGTTTCACTGTGATTGGCTGTTTTGAACCCGACCGTTCCGATTTGCTGGCCACCAAGGGCTTAGGCCACCAGTTTAATGGACGCAAATGACAGAGCGATTACACGACGCACATCAGCGTTCTTTTCATGCTCCAATGACCTTAAATGTATCTGGGAACTTCCTTATGATCGCATAATGAGATTTTCCAATGGATTTCAGGAATATGGGGTTCGTCGTTTGATTTCTTAGGATTTGCTCATTCTGACCAGAGGTCCAAGTTGAATCTGGGCTTTAGAGTGCGATTGCAACTCCCACCGTTGCAACGAGACGGGACTTCAACATGCTGTGACGGTTTGCCTACCTCTTCGACCCATTGTGTTATAATGGGTGATGTCCCGGAGCTCCTTGTGAGATACTCCTATATAGTTGCTCAAAGGTTAAAAGTCAGACAAACTCAATCTCCTGTTTTCAACGTTTGGAGTTACAGATGGGATGGCGTCCATTTCTGTGAAGCTGAGTCTTTGCCATCTCGTCGCTGATTTGCGGACAGGTTTTTGAGCCAAAAGCTTCGTTTGATCACCCTGATTGTTATTCTGTCTAGTTTGGGGCTCACAGGCAATATCTCAGCCCAAGTAAAACCATGACAATTTCATCGAACTTCAACCACCTGCATTGGCCGTTACACAGCTTTCATTACGTCTCCTTATCTACCGCATACAACAAGAAAGCTAAGCGGAGACGTGCTACTATTGATGCCTCCTTTTTCGCCTTTTTCTCTTGCTTCCCTATCTACCCTCATCACTAACTTATAATTCCCAGCTTATTTGACAACAGCCGCGATACCACTATAGTTAAACTATCTGCAGCTATCTTCTCGCACCACCCAATGGACGCCTATCACCAACAGCTCCTTATAATGTCACACTGTCCTGCTTCCAATCCAGCGTTCAATGTCCGCACTCTAAGACAAATAGGTCAAGGGGCTGCACTCGTACACACGTTTGACACACTGCATGTCGACATGTGTACTGTGTTCGAAACCATACTCAGCGACCATCATTTGGTTGTTGAACTGACGGCACCCTACTTGTCCTCTCGCTATTGCTTGCATGTATCCGGAGACGCTGATGCGGAAACCACTGGTCAAGGGTGTGAGCATCGTTCGCAGCTTGATGACTGAGTCATCCTTGGTTAATTGCATTCCCGTGAGCATTCATTTGATGACGTCAACTAGGGTTGATTCACGAAGTAGTACTAGACGCTGTTTGCTTGTGGTTTCTGCTTATACTTCCACCGGCTACAGTTCTGAGGATAGTAAGGACACCTGCCACGAACTGAACACGCTGTATGCAGTGTTAACAGTTCAGACACCATAGTTCTTTCAGGGGATATGAATGTCCAAGTAGGTATTCTAAGCTCTTCAGAAGCTCAGCCAGGGGGTACGTATGGACTTGACTGACCGGGCGGACAACGTCGAACGTCTGTTACAACTGTATGCAGCGCACTGGCTGTTTCTTAATAGCACCGCTTTTGGACCCAATGGGCGCCGAACTTCCACTTGTCACCCACTTATAGCTGGCCAGCGATGGACCTAACTTGATCATGCTGCCATTTTTTACAGATGGTGTGGTCACGTGCTGGACTGTCGCTTCCTCTATAATACTTACGTCGACAGTTCTTGCTTTGTACTGTCATTTTTCCATGAATTTTACCGGAAGACATACCAACTGTCTGTCTATTGGCAGCTGTGATGCTGTCTCTGTCCTCGGTCATACAAGCCTACCAGGATTTTCTGCGTACCGAACTTTCGCTCTCTCCATCCAACGACATTAGGCTTCAGTTGAATAGGATCTCGGCCTGCCATGTATGATGCAGAAGCATCTGTTTGTGGGACTATCAAACGTCACCGCACCGGTCACTGGATATCCGAGAGGTCGATGAACCTGTTGGAATCGAGAAGAAAGCTCACCTGGATCTGAGCACAACGTGACCAGACTGACTATTAGACGCGAACTAAAGCAGAGCTTGCATCCAGACGAGGAAGCCTGGTGGACAAGTCGGGCCCAAGAAATGGAGGAAGCAGGAGCGGCTAATCCGTCAGCGGGTGCACTGAATCACAACAAGGAGTGCCGTACGGCTCATTGGACGGAGAACTTTCGAGATCCGTTCCGTTAACCCCTGAATCTGAACCCGTTCCTACTCAGATGTTGCAGGATAAGCCATGGACAGTTAGTTTAGAGGCTCCACCGGAGGCTGAGGTCCGGAGCGCGATCACCACTTTTACTCGTTTTCGTGCTGCTGGCCCGGATTCTCTCCCACCTGCACTATTTGAGTCTGCTGGTGAGGTCCCCTGCAAGGCACTGATCTCCCATCCCATCTAACTGCTGTGGATCGATTATAGTGGCAATATACGAGAAGGGTAGTCACACCGACTGTGCTAAACACAGAGGTATTAGGCTCACTCCTGTGGTGATAAAATTATTGGTCTTAATTCCCCTCCGTCGGCTCACTGCGGAACGGGTACCCCGGAGTAGGGAAGAGCAGGCAGGCTTCCGCCTAGGACGTGGCAGGGGCTAGAGCAACGCCACACGTACCGCGGGCCGACAATAGCCGTATTCTTCGACTTCAAGAGTTCGTTCGCCTGAGTAGATCGAACCACTCTGTTTGACACACTGGTGCACAAAGATGTTCCCATGAAATATACATACTCTACTCGAACACAACAAGCCGCATCAGGATTTGCGATCGGCACCAGGTGCGCATCTGCTATCGTCTCGTAGTCGGATACATGTTTGAAGTTTGTTTGACTCTACGCTATGTGGTGGAAACCGCAAAGAATCTGTTTCACCGATAGCACCTTTGCACTATGGCCAGCTATTTGTGATTGCGTCTTGTTGACACAACCTATAGGCGCCTTGACCCTGAATATTTGCTTAGGGCATTAAGGTCTTATACATCAGTTCAGATTACTGATGTACTGCTGTTTATGATATTGTATGGACGAGACCCAATAGCGGACTATTATCTCATGCTCTTCTAGCTGATCCTGAAGTTGGGTGTCGATGAGACAAGCAGAGGCAGCGCGGGTGCTCTGATTCACTATGTGCTCTGTATAGCAGTTCATTCGCTCTTTGCTCCTGGGTCTTTTTCTATTCAAGTAGTGCAGGGTAAGCCGTAGCCGTTTATTTTATAGGCTCAAGTTTATACTAGACCTGACGGCTTTCCCTCATCTTTGCTGAAAGATGAAGACGGCTTATTGTTGACTGGACTGGCTGCTGTATTCGACACGATTTGGGACTCTGAAGAGGTGTTTTAGGACTGTCCTCTACCAACTGTCGTGCCTGTCTTTAAAGAGGGCCAACTTTCTTTGTGCGAAGACCATCAAGACATTGACCTTTTTGCCTCCAAACTCCTGACGGGTACCATACTTCGACGAATAACTGGTTCCCGTGAAAAGAGAAGCACTAAACATCAAGCTGGCTTCTGCTCTGATCGTGTTTCGTTGACCCCATATTTGCTCCTCGCCGTGTTAAAACAGAGACACACCTACCGACAACCTGCTATGGTGGTTTTCCTTCGACTCTTTATCCTGTCATCCTGTGGCACCGTCTATCCGTGAATTTAATGCCTAGAAAAACTTTCTGTTCTGAATCCTCACCACCGTGACTCTTGAGGCCGTTTAAAGTTCTACAAGAAGCTGTCTCCTGAGTTCCCTATGACAAGTGGGCTGCGCCAGAGTTCCCAT